TTCAGGAATATCGTGTCTACGAGGATCAAATTTATAAAAAAATTAGTTATAATCGATAAATTAGTTATAATCCAAGTAATGTTCACCCTCTGATCATCTGCGTATTTTGATATTACATATTCTAAAAATCCAATTGTTGATCTTCAGGTATAGTTAATGTGGAAAATTTTAATTTTCATATTATTTACAAGAACGTTTTTTTGTAAGTAAACTTCTTTTTTTTATATCCATATATCCTTATAATAATACTTTTACTAATACTTTTAATTGGTACTTTTAATATTCTTATTCACATGAAAGTAGAGTTAGTAAGTATTTTAGTATTCTTAATCAGAAAAAAAAATTAAATACTTTTTATCATAACTACATTGGACCCTATTGCTCCAACCACTTTTCGCTTTTATTTAAATCAACTTAAGTATCAAAAAAATTGGAAAATTTCTGTTTCATCAAGATTTAAAACACTAATGAACTTCACCTAAAAAAAGTACTTTTAATTTTGATTCATATTATTTAAACTATTATTAAAAGGATATGAAATAGAAAAATTTGTATAAATAGCATTTTAGTTAATTTTGATCACTTTAATTTGGCTTTCCTAATAAAAAACACTCTTGTAAGTAACAAGAAAATTAAAATTTTCTATATTACCTACAGGTGAAGATCACTAATTACATTTTTTGAATAATAATAAAACACAAAGAAGGTTAAAGGGTGAACGTTTCTTGAATTATAACTAATTTATCGTGAAAAATCTCGCTTTTGTTGTTTTTTATAAATTTGATCCTCGTAGACACGATATTCCTGAAACTTTTGGAAATATTTTGTGGAGAAAAAAAGGTAATGCAAATGTCTTTCGTTTTGGAAAAGAAAAAGTACAAGTTAATAATGCATAATACTGCGTAATAAAGATTAAAAAAATTTGTTTTTGTTTGAAAAATACGTTGTTTTAGTTAATTTTCTAAGGTTTTGGCCTCAGTTTTCGCCTGATAGACATGTTATTTCTAAAATTTTTCTCACATTATGTCATATCAAAATGAAGGTCACAATATAGGGCTCGTCTTCCTGTAAAAAAAATGATAGGTTGATAACGAGGAATTATGAGTAAATGACGGTTAAACGAAAATTTAAAAAAAAAATTTTTAACAAATTTTGACTTTGCACTTAAATATCTCTGAAACTAAAAAAGTATTTGCAACCGCTGGTAAACCGTTAGAATGAGTATTTCATTAGCTTTAAAACGAGTGTACAAGATTGAATATACCTGTCACATTTCCCGAGTTATAAATAAAAATGTGAAAATAAGCCGGTTTTTGGATGTTCCAACTTTGAGGCCCCATAACTCGAGAACAAGGGCCCAAAAAGGAAAATGTCACTAGGTGTTTTTTGTTCGTCTGCATGTATTCTATCACTCTGCTTCGGGAATACCATTGAGTCCCGGACACCCTGTATAAATTACGTCAAGTTTTAAAATATTTATCAAACATGGACAGTACATACAAAAGAAGAACTTATAGCTCAAAGTTTTTAAAACACTAAATTTTACTTTACAAATTTTGAAAAAACTTTAAATATTGCGAAAATGATAACGAAATCATTTTCAGTAATTTTCATTCAAAAAGTAATATACCAGACTTACAATTCATACCTGTTACCTGTAATTTATAATTAACATTAAGAAAAAAAGTAATTTTGAATTTTTTTATCGTTTTTTTTTTTATATTTATCCTTTTTCTATCTTATATTATTAAAGAAAAAAAAAAAGAAATTAAAATAATTTTATTAACAACTTTTATATATATATTCTTTTATATGAGTACTCAATATGAAAGCAAATACTGTATGCATGCCTTACATTTGATCACGGCTGTCACAAATGCGGGCCTGGAACCCAAGAGAGAGTGGCAGTTAACAGCTGATGTTTTTACACGTATTCTTACCGGATCTATAAAGGGCCTTTTTTAACATCATAAATCTCCGACAAGATCAGTTTTTTTCAAATTTTTTATTAGAAAAAGTTAAAATTCAATATTTTTCTACTTTACTAGTGCTTACAATCTTAAAGTTTTGTGTTATTAAAACATTAAAAATTTCATTTAAAAAAAACCTTTCAGGTTCCGTTCATTTTTTTAAGATTTCAATAAATTCTATACAACAAGAAAAAAAAATTGTGCAATTTTTTTTTCGAAGTATTCAGTTGGTTTCGGTGTATTTTTTCAAATTTGAAGAAATCTACATTTGATTTTAACGAGTTTGCTAATTTTGTATGATATGTCTCCCAAAATGCATACTTGTTATGTAATCACATATACATATACATATCTTCATATTTTTCATGTGTATACTACATTAATTAAACTTACGTACATGCTTTATAATTCATAAAACTTACTGCGTATGTAAATTCTTTTTATAATAAAAGTCCGTATAATTTTTTTTAGGTATGTATGTATGTGATTATAGTTTTATTAGGAATTATTTTCACATTGTTAGTAAGGCTAATTCGCTAATTTACCTAAAAACTTTAGAACTTATACAAGTTTCTTTATAATTTTTTTAATTATGTTTGTTTTTATGTAGAGGACAACTTGAGACGACGCATCTCATACGATTATAAAATTTTAAAAACACTTTCATAATTATAAAACTTAAAATCTGATAATTGCAAACTTAAATTAAAATCTAATAAAATTTTTATTAGCTTTTTATTAGTTGCTGGTTTTTTCTTTAAATGCCACTGATCGTGTCTTATTTCTTATTATTTTTTTCTTTTTTTTACGTAAAAAAGAGTTTAATATTTTAAAAAATCTCGGGATATTATACAAATTTTTTAAAAAGCTTCCCATTTAAATTCTATTGCACGAAAAAGAAAAAAAGGTAGGAGTAATATCATTTTTTACTCTCAATTCTCTCAGACATGTTATCTGACATGGCGGTACAAGAAAATGCGAGGAAAACTCGAAAATATATTTAATCAAATTTATAGTTAAAATTTGGAGTTGAAATTTGAATTTTTAATATGTAGTTCAGAAAACTCCAAATTTCATGTTAGTATAAAAAATTTGAGGATTTAGTCAAGTTTTCGTATAGAAAACTCGAAATGAAAATAGGCAAAAATCATAATTTTTTTAAAAAAAACAACAAAAAATATGAGTCTTCAGAAATGTCATTTCGCCAAAACTACATGTGCAATTTTACAAAAATATTCACAAAAAAAGCAGGGTCCAGGCCTTGATTTTTTGTAATGTCAAGCATTTGATATTTACTCATTAATTCTTTTTCATAGTATGGCATTTTTTTCTCTTACTTTTTCTTGTGTTTTATTTGGATTATTTATTTTTTTACTCCATTTAGCGTTCCCACATGGATACAATTGTATCCATTTGTATACATTTTTTGCTTTAAATTTAGCGTAGATACAAAGATACTCAAATCTGCTAAAACGCCGAAATTGGCTACATTTGAAAATTTTGCTGAAACATGGATACATTTCTTTCCCAAACAATAAGTAAATATTACAAAACTGTTAAATTACTGCTAATATTAAATCGCGAAATTGCTTTATCTTAAAAAAAATGTTATTTTCTGGCTTTACTGAGCAGATTTAAAAATTTGTTAAAAAGAAGTAAGAAATATACTTTATTAAATGAGTATCTCCTCTTCCTGTACTAGAAATATTTTGATGTAAACTAAGTTTAACAGAAAATGCATTGGCCATACATATTTTTTAAAATTTGTCCGTTTTCATGGTGAATCGTCTTTACCGCATAGTTCAACAGCTGCGGAACATATATGTACATATATATCCTGACCTTAACTTTTACATTGAAAATGCAATAGAAGTTACGTGTGATTTCTTAAAGAATTTACTATAGATAACAAAACTCGCGTTTTTAAAAAAAGCAAATTAATATTAATTATGAGTTTATTTGTACAAATTAAGAAGACTTAGTGTAATAATTCTACTTTAAGAGGCTGGATACATTTTGGATACATTTTGTTCTAGAAATTGAATTCATTTAATTTTTAGCGAGTGGGAACACCGATCCATTTTCTAATTTAATAACAATAAAGGGGAAAAAAGTAAGGAAGTTGGAAAGGATATAAAAAAGAGCATATTAAGACTTATTTTTCAAAAAGGTCATTACTCTTCGAATGTGCACATTAGTGCCGTGAGAGGTATTTTTCCAATGCAAATTGTACATTTTTCGTGCATCTTACTTGAACCGCACCCGGTCCCGGACTCATCTTTCCACAGCTGTGATTTTAAAAGTTTTTAAAACATTACATTTTACTTTATAAAACTTGGAAAAACCTTAAACATTGAGAAAATTAACACATCATCATTTTTTCTCATTTTTTTCGGAAAATTGTTATCCCAGACGTTATGCATGCAAAAACTTTATAAACCTTTAAAAACTTTCTTATGCCAGACAGACCTTTAGTTGAGAGGAACGTATCTAATGGAAATACAATGGTTAAACAAACCAAAACCAAAGTTTTGAAATTTGAACTTAAATACCAGCAGAGTCGACTAAACAAATAGTTATCAGATATGCCGATAACTAGTTAAAGCCAACTAGTTACCATCAGCTGTTTTTGGAAATGAAAAGGTTCGCAAAGGGTATATACATATATAAAAGATAAAGTCTTATGACTCCAGCGTTACCCAGCATTAGCACGATACTGCGTGACTTGGTAATATTATAGAGTGGGCATCAATAACTAATAATATAGTTGAAGCTCTAAAAGAAACTTGAATATATGCATACTGAACACTAGTTTTAAAAATCCATAACAAAAATTATAACTAAAAGATATCAGAACTTTTCTTGTTCTACTTTTCCAAAAAATTGTTCTACTCTCAGACTGAAAATACAAAAATTTAGAAATGTATTACCAAAAAATTTTTGAAACGACAACACTGATGCAAGAATCATTGTGTAGACACAGGTATTGCTTTTGAAATTTGTCAGAATTTTCAACTATATGTATTGAAATATGCAACAACTTTTTAGTTTAGAACTTACATTTATTAAGCATATACTAAATATTCTCCAAAATAAAGTACTGCTAAATAAATAAACGTGCAAAATGAAAAAAGAGAAAAATTTGGACACGGTTAGGCCATTTAAGTTGGGTAAACAATGATGAAAATTCTAGTTAACATGGTTGAATTATCATGTAAACTAAAGGAAATATCTAAATGGTATAAGTAACTTGATATTTTTTTAGCTCACCAAATTGTTAGTTTGACTGGAATCAGCTTTGAGATGAAAAGCATTATAGTAAGTTTTTTAAATATTTTCTTTTGACAAAAATTAAAAACCTTTAAAATTTAGGGTTTTGTAGAACTGACGATAGTTCCAACAAGAGATAATATGCGTGTAATACGAATGAATGCCAAGCAATGTCGTATTTATAGAATAGTGTTGAATGATGACATTGAGGCACCTTTTCATTATTTTGATCCTTTTTTAGATATATGTCAAGACGAGCCCAAAAGGTAATTATTTCTTAAAAGTGAAAATATTTTTAAATTTTATAATACATGTATTTCAGTCGCTCTTTAGAAATATTTTCAAAACATCATTTGAATGCTGCTCAGAAAACTGATCCAGATATAAATGCTGGAGAGTTAATTATTACAGTTCCACCCGAAGGCTATCATTTAATTGCGGAGGGGCGAGGATTAAGAGTTGGGGTTGAGTTCTCTCTTGAAGCCCCAGAGGGTGGGTTACATTTTGTAATACCAGAACAAGATGGAACTAAGGTACCAAATTGTGCCCATATGTTTAGCTATGGTCATGAAAATTCAACTCGACTGTGGTTTCCTTGTGTTGATAGCAACGCTGAACCATGTACGTGGAAGCTGGAATTTACTGTCGATAAACATTTAACGGCCATATCTTGTGGTGAACTTGTTGAAGTAGTTATGACTCCCGATTTAAGGAAAAAAACATTTCATTATGCTGTTTCTGTACCGGTATCGGCATCAAATATAGCTTTAGCAGTAGGCCCATTTGAAATATATGTAGATCCTCATATGCATGAAGTCACTCATTTTTGTTTACCTCAACTAATGCCACTGTTAAAAAATTCGGTTAGATACTTACACGAGGCTTTTGAATACTTTGAGGAAACCCTTTCAACTCGTTATCCATTTTCATGCTATAAACAAGTATTTGTTGATGAAAAAGATGATGATATTACTGCCTACTCAACTTTGAGTATTGTTTCTACACACCTTTTGCATTCAATAGCAATAATAGATCAAACGTATGTTACAAGAAAAGCAATGTCATTAGCAGTCGCAGAACAATTTTTTGGCTGTTTTATTGCAGCACAAAATTGGTCCGATACTTGGCTAGCAAAGGGTATTGCTGCGTATATATGCGGATTATACTCAAGAAAATGCTTTGGAAATAATGAATATAGACAATGGATTCAAGCTGAATTAGCAGAGGTTGTAAAATATGAGGAACAATATGGCGGCATAATATTAGATTGTAGCCAAGCTCCTGCGCCTTTACCAGTAGCAGGGAGTAATAATCAAGCTAATGTCATAAAACAACAAGAAATACAACATTATTTTCCGATAAAAAGCTTACACACGATGTCTCCAAAGTATATAGAAGCTATGAGAAGAAAAGCTCATTTAGTAATTAGAATGCTTGAGCATCGAATTGGACAGGAGTTATTGTTGCAAGTATGAGATTCTTATTACTTTTCAAATGCTTTAAATTACAAAATTTCGTTTAGGTGTTTAACAAGCAATTGGCACTAGCTACTAACGCCGCATCAACAAAAATTGGTGGTGGATTATGGCATCATCTACTTTTAAATACGAATAATTTTATTAACGCTATATTTACTGTAACTGGTAAAGATATGGCCGTATTTATGGATCAGTGGGTTAGAACTGGAGGTCATGCAAAATTTTCTTTAACATCCGTATTTAATCGCAAGAGAAATACTATAGAACTTGAAATAAGGCAAGATTCTATAAACCAAAAAGGTGTCAGAAAATATAATGGTCCATTATTAGTTCAACTTCAGGAATTAGATGGAACTTTTAAGCATACTTTACAAATAGAAAACACTGTCGTTAAAGCTGACATAACATGTCATTCAAAAAGCCGAAGAAATAAAAAGAAAAAAATTCCTTTATGTACAGGTGAAGAGGTTGATATGGATCTTTCGCCAATGGAGTGAGTATGGTGTTCTTTAAAATAAAATTTTATGTGATGTAATTACAGCGAATCACCAGTGTTGTGGATCCGTTTGGACCCAGAAATGATACTCTTACGGGACTTGAATATTGAACAACCAGACTTTCAATGGCAATTTCAATTGAGACATGAACGTGACGTAACAGCGCAATTAGAGGCGATTAATGCTTTAGAAAAATATCCAACTCCACAAACTAGACTAGCGTTAACGGATTCTATTGAAAACGAACAAGTGTTTTACAAAGTTAGATGTGAAGCTACATTTTGTCTAACAAAAGTCAGTATATACTATATTATTTTTTAAAGTTAAATTAACCACTGCTTTAAAGGTAGCAAATGCAATGGTCACCAGTTGGCAAGGTCCTCCAGCTATGCTAAATATATTTCGGAAATTCTTTGGGTCTTTTAGTGCACCACACATTATTAAACAAAATAATTTCACAAATTTTCAGCATTATTTCTTACAAAAGACCATTCCTGTAGCTATGGCTGGACTAAGAACTTCACATGGAATTTGCCCCCAAGAAGTGATTCGTTTCTTACTGGATTTATTTAAATATAATGATAACACTCGAAATCATTATTCTGATAACTATTATAGAGCATCCTTAGTTGATGCACTAGGTAATTCAATAACACCAGTTGTTTCAGTTGTTCAACAAGGAGCTCCAATAACATCAGAAAATTTGTCTGCTGATGCAAAGTATACATTTTTGTCATAACAATATATTTTAAACTCTATCAATAAAAATATTTTACAGACTCGTTCTAGAGGAAGTTACTAGATTATTAAACTTAGAAAAATATTTACCATCTTACAAATATTCAGTTTCTGTATCATGTCTTAAAGTTATTCGCAAACTGCAAAAATGCGGACATTTACCATCTTTACCACAAATTTATAGGTGTTATGCAGCTTACGGTCAGTACATCGACGTTCGTGTTGCAGCGATGGAGTGTTTGGTTGATTTTGTAAAAGTTGATGGCAGATGGGAAGACTTAGATCATTTACTTTCTTTGCTTGAAACAGATCCTGATCCAGCTGCAAGGCATGCCCTAGCTAGATTACTTATAGAGAATCCTCCATTTAGCAAAAATATTAGAAGTCGTTTAGACAAAGAAGATTTAGTAGAAAGAATTTGGAGTAACATGAAGTAAATTTGTTTCACTAACATTCAACTATATTGTTTTATATATATTGTTTTTTTAAACACAGTTCTAAACTTTCTCACGATGACAAACTAAGATGTGATATGGTTGATTTGTATTATGCGCTATATGGTAGTAAAAAACCATATTGTTTACAATCAGCTGAGTTTTCAGCTATGTTTAAACCACAAAAAGTAAAATCAGAACACACCAATAACGTTACTGATGAAAAATCGTCGAGACCAGAAACTCCATTTAATGATGTAATAGAATCTCAAGTGGTAGAAAGCGAACAAAAATCTTCGGTTAAACGAAACGCTGAAGGTGCCGGTCTTGACGAAAGCTGCAATGATTTTATTAAAATAGAAGTTGAAGAATACGTGATGATAAATAGTGATCTTCAAGCTATTGAAAAACCTGCAACTGTAACCCCAACACCAACATCAATACCGATAGATGTAGAGCCAGCTGAAATTGATACTGTCAAACCAGAAAGAGTTGAAATTGATTTAGGATTAAATCAATCAGAACCAAAGAAAATGAAATCTGAGTATTTTTCAGATAATTCTATTTCTCTTCCAGGGGTCAATGCATCTCTCGGCCCCTCCGGATTTGAACCTGGTATGTTTAAACAGGAAGAAGACAGCAAATCTAAATCTGATAATTCCTCAAAGGTAAGTTAAAAATCGCTTATAATTTGTTTGTCAAGACCTGATTAGAAATTTATTAAATTCTTTAAAATGAAATATTATTTTATAAATTTTAGATCAAAAAGAAAAAGAAGGACAAGAAGAAGCACAAGCATAAACATAAGCATAAGCATAATAAAGATAAAGAGAGGGATAAGGAAAAAGATAAAGACAAGGATCGTGATAAACGAAAAGAAAAAGAAAAAGATTCTAATATTTTACGTACGCAAACAGTAAGAGAGGAAACTACCGAAACCTTAAGCTCTCCTGATAGTTCTAGTAGAGAGAGTCTACCTACTGTTGTTAGTCTACCTACAGATTTAGCGTAATTAAAATAATAAAAAGGATCATATTTTCTCCGGTCGACTCTCATATTTTCAATTCATCATGAAATAAATTTTATCGTAGATTTTCTATGTTAAAATTTAAAAAAAAATGTAAGAACGATCAGGCTCGAGTTAATATACATGCAAATATGTATGTATACACATATAACATACATACATAAATTTTTGAAAGATGTGAAAACTATCAAAAAAAAATCAAATGTAAATTAAAAGTCTTAAGACAAATATGCGAAACAGCTTTATAATTTAAAATGACTAAAACTGTTTTACAATTTTGTATTATTTTGCACCATTTGTTGTATGCATAATTTTAGAAATAAACATTAAAATATTAAAATCATTATTTTAAATTATTTGCATATAGTTATCAAAGTTGTCAATCCCATTTTTTATAAAGCCAGTTTAACTACATATTTCAGTATATATGTACATATATTTAAACAAAATTAAATTTTTGCTCAAAATATGAAACTTACAATAATATTTTTATACAAACATATTTTCAATCATATACATACATATGTATTTACCTGTAGCCTTTATTCACAATCTTCAAATAATTTTCATTTTTTTAGCGGGAAATTCCTAATACTTATTTCAAGTTTTGAAACTTGTACTAAATTATTTTCTTGTTTTTCATGCCCCTATTATTATTTCTATTAGCGAGTTTTGACTAAAATGAAACTAATCCATATTGTTTCTGGATATAATATAAATACATACTTTTAATACACACCGTAATTACGTACGGCGTACCAAAAATTTCAAGTAGCCGACGCTGTAATGTAAATCAATATTGTCAAAACTTTTCTCAGTATTATTAACTTACATATAGATATTATACTTCAGTTATATATATTATATAACTTATTCCTTAGTTTTTTTTCTAAAGAAAAAACTTATTTGAATCAAAAGTTATAAAAATATTAAAGAATAAAAACATCTCAAATCAAAAACTTAGCATCCCGCAAAACAATATTTGATTTACCAAAACAATTTAAAATTTAGTTTATGATTCCGCTTAATATTCTTCTAATTTATTTTTAAGTACCAGAACATATTACTTTTTAAAAAAATTAATAGCGCTATATTTTAATTTATATGTATGTATATCTTTTTCTGTTTGATATTTGCATGCATCATTTTTTTCAATTATCCATATCAAAATTACTATTTAGACATATTTATAAATTTAAAATTAAAATAAGTATGAAGCTAAATTTAAATGTTGATTTCTTAATATTCAATATAATCTGACCACCTAGAAAATTCAATATAAGATTGCAAGTTTTCAAAGAAAATAAATACATATTATAATTACAAAAAGAACACAATATGAAAGAACTTTTAAAATGAATCGTGTCTAATTTTTTATATTTTCAATGATTATATTCAAAAGAATGAGTTTTGAGAAAATCAATTTAGATAAATTTCAATAAAAATTTGCTGCTTATTATGTGTACATAATTTATGTTATTTTTACTATTTTAATTATAATTACATAGTCTTAAAATTAATTATACAAATTTGGTAAATATATAATAAATTTTCATAACTTTTAATTTTTTCTTTGCAGAATTATAACATAAAATGATAATTATACATATTTATAATATCAAAAAGAATAAAAAAAAGGAATGACATAAAATTTACATCGGTCCGTCAATTGCACTAACTTTAAGCCGGCAATAATAAAACGTACGAGTAAATAAAAATGTTGCGATCAAAAACACAGCAATATAAGCAATAAATATACCAGCATGATCCTAAAAAAAAGTTATTTAGTACCTCGTAGTTTATTATGTCAAAATTTAAGTTTATGTATTTAGTTTTTGTTTGAAAACACATAATGTGTTATATAACACATATATGTATGTGTGGATTTAATTTTTCTTTTAAATACAACAAAATACTCACTTTGGCATAATTATAAGTAGTAGCAGTAACACTGATTCCAATAATGAATGCTATTATTCCAAAAACTGTAAACAACAAAGCACGGGTTTTTGCAAATTCTGACCCTACAGAAGATATTTTTCTGCAATGAGGGCATCTAGCTAACGCTTTATGCAAAGTATTAAACTGAAATATTTAAAAAGTACCGTAACATTTTTCATTCAAAATTTTTCATCCACTTCTAAGCAACTCGGCCAATACAATTTAATTTTAAAGACAAAAAATAAATTATGATGATTGTTAAAAAATTATTGACATAAGCTTAAATAAATAAGATCCGATTATGAAATATTTAATTAAACTTTACTTACAGTAGAAATTCATAATCGGAGCTATATTATACCTTCGCTCAATCGTATCACGCCAATAAAATATCGACAAAGTTTGAAGTGGAAATTACAAGCTGCTATAATATTATTTTATTAAACATAAAAATTACCAAAAATGTGTCAGAACAATGACCGCAAATAACCCGAAACATTCCCGGCATTGAAGGAACCGGAGGTGTTACTGGACTAGGAGCCAAATTAATTATTCTTTTGCAATTTGGTCTTGGGCATGCAATTCTTTGCGATGAGCTTTTACATATGAGCAAACAATTACACGGACAGCGAACATATTTTTTTCCTGGCGGAGCATTACGAATAGGCTAAAATATTTAGTCAAATAAATGAATTAAATTAAAAAATAGTATTTTTGCATAATTTTTCATGTTGTGTTTAAATTTGGCCTTACCGTGGCTTCGTTACAAAAATTACATTTAACAACATGTTGCTCCCTCTTGTATGTAATATCTATCATAGCTTGACAAACTCTACATTGAAGCATGGGCATATTGTCTTCAGTCCCAGATGGATATGGTGGTGGTAGTTCATGCGGGCCTGTAAGAGATACAGTTGTTCTTTGAAGCTTATGATATATATTCAAAAATATATTTATAATAACAAAACAGACACAAAAAATCAAATTATTTTATTCGACATAAACATTCGAACTTACCTAATAACTCTATTTATGAGATTGAAAATAAAACTGATTTTAAAATGTTTTAAAAATTATGTATTTTAAAAATACTATTTATATTGCAAAGGCTATGAAAAAAAATGTTCATTGTCGGTAGAAAATTTCGCCTTTTTAAAACAACATTACATTTAAGTAATGACATAAATTGGAGATTAATTTTTCTAGGTTCTCCTATGTAACATGTGCATATTTAAACTTTTTAGTGGCGGTTAATATAACTAACCAATAATATAAAATTATAAAATAAAATTTTTTAATTTTCTAGATGTTATTTATCGGTTCATTTGTAAAATCAATTTTATCAATTTATTTGTATACATGCTGATAATCTTAAAAAAATGCAAAGTTAAAAGTCAAGCGTATGGACGAAAACTACAAAAATGCATCATGAAAAAATCAAAATTATTTTATTTGCTTTCCTGATAATTTTAGTGAAACTTCGTGACTAATTTTCTTTATCAATATTTTGCAATTTTTCCGAATTTTTTTTTATCAATCATCATGTATATATCCCATGAATATTTGCAAGAGTTTACTTCTTTACTGCTTCTTTATACCGAGTATTTGAATACTTCAATGAAAAATCAGAGTTAGTAGATATTAAGAGCAATTTTAATTTTTACGCATTGGAAAGGTTTCTTCGAAAGAGCAATAAACTTGGATTATTTTTATTTACAACATTCGTTTAGCAAAGAATTAAAAAACAGTTTTAGGTAAATATTTCCTGATACATACATGCAAAAAGAAAATATTGGTACTTAAAAATCTTTGTACATTTTTATATAATGTAAGTAAAAGTTCAATATAAAAAAGCCGATATTTCGCATTTCATACTTAAATTCCGCAAGATATATTAAACAAAGGAAATCTAAATTAATTTTTACTTACCTGGATTTTCAGCTTCTTCATTATTAGCAGTATAGTTTGATGTATTTCCTTCATTTTGAAGTAATGGTTGTTTTTCAGCGTCTCTCATTTTAAAAATTTTACCTTTTTATTTTAATATATTTTAAATTTAATCTAATAATCTTGATTCCCCTTCTTTAGAACCCCGACAACGAATTATGGCGTTTGTCAAATTGACGTTTTAGCAACGAATAAATCGATAGCTCTATAAAATTAGGTTTTTTCGAATATGTATTCAATATGTATGTATATACATATATTAATAATTTTTAAAAAATATAAAATATTTTTTTCACATACATATATTTTTTTCTGTTTCCAAATAATTAAATGCTCCCTTTTAGCGTTTGGTCGTGTATCTGCTTCGTTCTCTTGAAATTTCACTTAAATGACCCTTAACGCAACAAACAAATTCAGCTAATCAACTGTAGAGCGTGTCTTAGTTTTTTTAGTTAAACTTTATTGGCACAACATAAATGTGCTGTTCTTGTAAGAGAATTCAAGTGTCCAGACTTCGAAAGTCAAAATCGGATGATCATTCATTCGATGATAAAAAACACTTGACATAACAAAAATTATTTTAACATATTATTTCAATGCAGCGTACTTATAACTTAAATTTTCGAAAATTTTTTACAACATTGTCAGTTTAATATTTTGTATAATTTAGTTGAAAATGGTTAGTTTGCCTTTATTTGTAATAAAAAATATTATTTGTAATATTAGAAAAATATCTTACCCAGCATTTACACATACAAGTTACTTGCATGCAAGTTTGTATAATATTAATTGTCAATTAGTTGTTCGAAATGTCAAATTACTTGCTATTATGACGTAGGCGTTTAGCAAGTTAATTTTTGAAAATGTCTTTGAGAAGAAAACAACTAGCAATATATATAATTGTTTATAAATTTTAGAAACCATAAGTTTGCTAAGTTTAATTTTTTCAAAACAAAATTCAAAAATTTTAAATTAAAAAAAAAAAAAATCAAAACAACAAATTTTTTTTTGTGAATTTCTCAATATGTCAAATTACTTGCTCAAATTACTGGCAGCAAAATTTTCTTGCAAGTTGAACTGCAAGTAAACAAGCAAGTAGAAATATTTCAATGTGTTAGTAAAATTTTTGTATGTATTGCAACTTTCTTGCAAGTAACTTGTACGTGTAAATGCTGGGTTATACTATTTTTTTTATAGCTGAAACAATTAAAAATGGTCAGTGCCAAAATTTTCAATATGCTGTCAATTAATTGTACAATTTTGTTGTCCAATTTTGCTTGATTTGCAAACGCTGCCATATACATATATAAATGCAATACGTAAATTACATCATAAAAAACAACTAAAGTTGCATAAAATTTAACCAAATAAAATTTGTTTGTAAATACTAAATCGATTTAACATGCGATTTAGTTGTCCAAATTTGAACCCTGCCATAGACGTACTAGATTAATAGACTGCAGTAGAGTCTATTTTTCCTTTTCTTTCGAATATGATTTCCTATCTATTTTTCGTAAAAAAATTTGTAATTAGGGAACTCATGGTTTTGACCAACGAATCAGAAATACTAAAGGAAAGAGGATTTTGAAAAAACAATGAAGCTAAATTTTTCTGTTGTCTTTCTTTGCTCCGAGCATTGTCAAAGTCGTCATATAGAGTACTCGTACTTATTTCATTTTGTTATCTAGCAACTACTATAAAATATGTGTAACCCAGCATTTACACGTACAAGTTACTTGCAAGAAAGTTGCAATACATACAAAAATTTTACTAACACATTGAAATATTTCTACTTGCTTGTTTACTTGCAGTTCAACTTGCAAGAAAATTTTGCTGCCAGTAATTTGAGCAAGTAATTTGACATATTGAGAAATTCACAAAAAAAAATTTGTTGTTTTGATTTTTTTTTTTTTTAATTTAAAATTTTGAATTTTGTTTTGAAAAAATTAAACTTAGCAAACTTATGGTTTCTAAAATTTATAAACAATTATATATATTGCTAGTTGTTTTCTTCTCAAAGACATTTTCAAAAATTAACTTGCTAAACGCCTACGTCATAATAGCAAGTAATTTGACATTTCGAAAAACTAATTGACAATTAATATTATACAAACTTGCATGCAAGTAACTTGTATGTGTAAATGCTGGGTAATTCATAATAACGACAAGATAAAAATTTTTTTAAAAGTAAAAACTAAAAAATATATTTAAAAATCTATTTTCAGTTAAAATATCTGTAAAAAAAATCAAATTTAAACAAAACTCATTATTTTTTTTTCTCTTTGAATAAATTTATTTTATAAATTGCAAATAACTATAAGTATTTTAATGTTACAATATTTTCCTACCTTCGAAAGTGAACATATTTTGTGAAAAAATTCTTATATTATCAGTTTTGTTTGACAATTTTACTGAACAACTCTAAACAATATTAATAACAATAAATATAAATATGAATACATATATATTTTAATGACTCTAAAACAGTATAGTTTTTAACAAATTTGAATTAATATGATGGTTATTACTCACTGAAGTAGATGGTATGTTGTCGTATTCTTCAATATTCATTAGTTAAGCTTCACATACTAATTCATTCTAAAACAATATATTTTATAAATAATTCACGCTTATATTTTAATCTACTTACTGAACTCAACGATATTGGGGCGTCTTCTTATATTTTTTTGTTAGCCAAATCTTCACTCTATTAAAGGAAATACATATATTTCATTTCATCATTTGTAGGAAAACTGTAATTATCAAAAAAAAAGGATCAATTCAAAATATTTGTTTGTATGCTTCATTTTGACAAACACAAAATAATTTTGTTTAAAAAAAATCCGGTTCTTCAAATTACGTCATCCGATGTAATTTTAATTAAAAAAAAACTAAAACAAATGTTTTCTTTGCAAAATTAAAAGCTTAATAAAATTACAAATTGTGAATTAAACAAACAACTATTGAATAAATATTTCTTTTAATTATTGAAATGAAAAATATTCACATATATATGGTGTAATAAAACTATTTGTTTTTACAAATTGGTATAACAATTTAGAACTATACACCTCTTTCTTTTTCAACAATTTTTTTTTTTTTTGTTGAAAAATCATTGTTAAAAAAGCAACAATATTTTGCATTTACATATTATATCAATTTCAATTTGACAATGATGATAGTAAAGAAACCTTACCAGAAAGTTTTGGCTTCACTATGTTTTTTTTTTCAAGTACGATTTTAGGGAGTGTAAGCGAGATAGAAACAAAAATGCTCCTTTCTTTAGTATTTCTAATTAGTTGGTTTTGACAATCTATTATTTTAGTAAAATAGGAGAAAATGTGACATGAGACTAGTAAAGCAGATTCTTCAAAACAATTTAATAATAGATGGAAGATATTTGAAACAAATTTAATGAAAGTTAAAAAGCAAGCATTTAAAATTTTAGTTTTTTTAGATTTTTTTCCAATCCTTTTTTCTACAATACTCCAGTAGATTAGCAGTACTATTACTGGCTTGTATAAAATTCTAAACATTTTCATTAAAACTAGAAGAAACTTCGTCCAAAATAGAAGCTTTCTTCGTTTTAATCATCATATAATATTCGAGAATTCAAAGGTTTAAATAAAAAATCAAGCAAAAAATCAATTTTCTAAGATTAATATATGTACATGCATAATAAGAAATCTACAAACGTAAGTATTAAGAAATATTTAGTCAAATAATAGTACATCGTCGGCTGAGTTCTAATTTGCTCCATACGTCATTTATGACCATTTTGATTTAAGAGTGATTTTATTGGTTTTAAAGGGTTTGGAAAAACCATTTTTTTCTTTTTTTCCTTAGTTTACTTGCTGCATAAACCATTTTTTAAATGAAGGAGCACATTTTACTTAAAAAAGCATGATGTTTTTATGTAAATTTTAGTGTGCTCCATAGATATAGTAAAATTGCTTAAAATTGTATTTTGCATATAAGTATATCTTTATGAAAATTATTTGTTTCAAATGCATTCAAAATGTATTAAAGAGTATGATTGAAAAATTTTAAGATATTTTTTTTGTCTGATCATCGTGTTTACCGTTTTAAAATTCAGCTGTGCTCCATTTGCAAAATTATTTGCTCCATGGTCAGTAAGTATTAACAAGCTCATTGGATATAGAGCATTGGCAAAAAAAAAAAATTTAAAAAAAAATTGAACTTCTCCGAAAAATCTAGACTTGTATGGATGAAATTTTACTTTGTTGTACATAAATAATTAATAAACTAAACTGCAAAATTTAAATAAAATCGTTCGAAAACATTTTTTTAATTAAGGTTGAAACTTTCTTTTTCAAATTTCTTGAATTCGTGTTGGTGGCGAATGGAGCAAATTAGACCTCAGCCGACGACATACGTACATTGCAACTTCAATTCTAAAACGATTTGTACCGACTGAAATATTTTCCTGTAGTAAACTATTTCTATTAGTTAATATTTTAAGTTAACTTTTTCTTTAAAACAAGTTACTTCGGGACCCCCTTTAAGTGTTTTAATTTTGAATTTTAAATAAATAGGTAATACATTTTACCACAGAAAAAATTTTTTTTCGCGTAAAGTAGAATCTGAAAATCAAAATTTAACTGTTGCTCAATTGTGGTCGCAAAATATTTCTCGTATTCGTTTATTTTTTTAATTATTTTCAGTCACAAAAAACACATCTATACTAATAAGCAAATCAAAATATTGATCAAAAATCAACTTGGCCAATCTGTAGTCTGTACACCTCTTTTAAATTAATTTTAGACATCTTTATCTGTAACGGGCATTTTGTTTAATTTGATTTTATTTTCCTATACATTGAATGTTTTTTTTTGAATCGCAGCAAGTTAAATTATAGTATTTCTTAAGCTATTTGTGGTTTTTCAATGGTTCATCAAGAAACAATCAGACACTTTCGAAACGAAGACAATTTAGTATTTATACAAGTAAGTATTTTCAAAAACCTAGGAAAGATTCTCTGTAATTCATGTGCAATGAATATTTTCATTTCATGTAAACCCTTTCAATTACAGTTAAACAATAAGTTAAAAACTGAACAAGAGCGATTTTCCTCGATGAAATATGAAAAATCATATTGAATACACATATTTAAATGGGGCTGAACAGAAACACGGGAATTACCGTCACAAATTTAATCACCGCCAGACCTTAAGTAGCTTAAATTACCACATTAGCGCTGACATTTTGTTTCCATATGCAAATGACATTGTATGTAAAATACTGTCCAACTGATGTTGCCATTCCGCTATTGCTTGGTTAACAACGAAAATCATCCGTCGTTGCCGTTCCCGGCTTTAGTTCTGTTTTCACAGTTTATATAACTATAGTATTTGTCATAATAAGAAAATATAACACTATTTTCTTATTATGACAAATATAACACTATTTTC